CCTTTTTGACTGTCAATATTGGAATTTTTGATCGGTGTTGAAAAGTTGCAGGCCGCAGTCTGAGCGCATCCAGGGCGGGTTCTTCCTCCCTGTGTCACTTTTCTCCGGTCGCTAGCGCGATTTCTGCCCTGTTCGGCGTTTTCGACTAAATGTCTTTACTTCCGTGAATATTATACAGTGCGCATGGTGACCTGTATGAGAGCAAAAAACTGTGAGAACTGAGTTTTCCCTGTCTGATTTTTTTTTTTTTAGATGCTGGACGATACGTTTATGCTGGCGTGTCACGAGCCGCTCCACCAGCTGTGTCACGAGCGCCTCCGTCAACCACGCCAGGAGCACCTGCACAAGCTTCGCGAGCTGTTCCAGTGCGTGTTTCGGTTGGCGTTGCAACTGAACGTCTTTCACAGCCCATTCAAAGGTTGGTCCTGTTTTGCTTCCACATGCTTCTTTATGGCCGCATGGGGTTTTTTTGTGGAGAAGCAAAATCTGTTCGAAAGGTGTAGACGTTCTTTAGCTAATCGCAGAATTCAAAGTTATATTTTAGCCGCTCGGTGGAACAGGTTGCTTACGCAATGGGACAGATCCATTTGCAACCAAGCGTTCGCTCGCCAGCCCCACAAATTATCCAACGCCGTGAATACTACTCTCAGCCAGTACGTTGTTTTTCTACTTATGCTTATATCAGGCTCAGCTTTCTTACCTGAAAAATTCTATGATTTTTTTCCCGTTTGTTTCTAAACTTGAATTTTTATGCTGTTCAAGTGTGGGAGATGATACTTGCCATGTTCGAAAAAAGATGAAGTTAATTGATATTAATGCAAGATAAAAATTGAAGCACAAAATGTTTGGGCGTTCGATTTAAATGACTTATTCTCTCAATTTAGCGGTTGATATGGCTCGATTAATCATTTCTGTTTCTTCAGTATGACGGTGACTACGAGGATTTCGATCCAATGGATCCATTCCCAACAACTGGATATGATGGTGGCAGCGTCGTTACAGCTGTCACACCGCCTGTGGCTCATCACAGAAAATGTTGGTGCTCTTTTTTTCCTTTTTCCAGTTTTTCAAAAAAAATCAGTTGTTTTTAGGGTTTTTTTTTTGTGTGTTATACCAGAATCAGCTATGCAGTTAGCAACTTCTGCATTTTTTTTTTGACTTGTGCTACTTCCTCTTATAGTCGGCCTTCTGACTTTTAATAAATGACCCCGTCATTTGTTTCCGAAGGAATTGTTAGTTTCTTTGGTTTTCTCGGTAGAAATTCTTGTCATGCCTTTAGCCGGCTGAAGATGTGTATGTATATGTGTATATGTTAAGCATCACCACCTCGTCTTGAACTATCATTTCTAATTACGGCAATATACTCGGAGGTTTCTGTATTGCTAATACGCTTTGTGGGTACTTTGCATTGGTCTGAGATATTTTCGTATGTATAGTTTTCCAATGGAAGTTTGCTGGAAAGACAGTTAAAGGACGTTTAATAGTTCAGTGATTGTCAGCCTTGAAAAAATCAACATTCGGGCATTTTGCTCTCTTCGCGCACCAGCGCTCAGTTGTTCAAAGCGCCTATTTTAGATAGTCCAATAGCGGTTGTTGAGCAAGCTGTACAGACCTATGATTGGGGAGCACCATTAAAGGAAGCCGATATTGCGCCTGCACAAGTCGAAGAGACTTCAGCGAATATTGTACAAACCGAGAATGGTTCTACTATGGTAATTTTTTGTTTGCAGGAAAAGTGATGATGAATTGTTACAGAAATGCACGAAAGCAGATTACCGGTTGCTGACAGGTTTTGCGCAGAAGTGGCTTTCTCTCCCGGGCAGTCGTATTCGTATTCCCCTCCCCCCTCTGCCGGAGACATGACACAGTATATGTTTGTGTCGCAAAGATAAAGATGATAATGAGAATATGTGTAAACATTCTGTTATAAATTAACAAAAATAGCATTTACAGTGACATTAGGATAGAATTATTGGCGGGGAAGGAGGAGGAGGAGGGGGAAGTCAGGTTTATCGTCAGCAAAAAGCGGTCTTTGCAAATCATTTCCTGTCAGTTCCATTCGTTACAGATCGGTGCACTGCTCTAAAGACAAAAAAAAAAATTCTCAAAATTGGCACTTTTACGCTCTTACCATGGCCAGCGATGACAGTGGAGTTCACTGAGCTCAGATTCACATTCATCATCAAAACTGCATTTGTGGTCCTTAGAGGCGAATTCAA